CCAACATAGCCGATGGGGTGAGCCTCTCATAGTTCTCTCTCTTGACCCATATTTGTTTTACATCCCATGTCTTCCAATTACTAGGATAAGAAATGTGTGGAGGACAAAGTCTCTTCTCTCCAAGTGTGTCCAAACAATGTGTGAACTAACTTTCTTTCTAGGCTTGCAGGTTAAACAAATGAAAAATGGAATTTTTGTCTCACAATCTAAATATGCAAGAGACCTAGTTAAAAATTTTGGGTTAGAGTTAGCCAAGTACTTACATACTTTGATGAATGCTAGCAACGAGTTTAGTAAGGACACTTGCCAGCAAAAATGTTGATCATACAGTATATTGTAGCATGATAGGTAGCCTACTCTATCTCGATGCAAGTCGACCAGACATTGCCTTTAGTGTTAATATATGTGCACGATATTAGTCCTGGCCCAAGGTGTCACACTTGCTTGCTGTATCATTCGTTACGTAAGTGACACTTTAGGATATGGTATTTTGTATACCTTTGAGACTAATGTCGAGATTGTTAGATATTATGATGCCGATTGGACAGGGAATGTAGATGATTGTAAGAGCATTTTTGGTAGTTATTTTCACATTGAAAACAACTTGGTATCTTGGAAAAGTAATAATTTTTTTTATATCACTTTCTACTACCATGGCTGAGTATATTACAATAGAGAGTTGTTGCACGTAATTGTTTTGGTTAAAGCAAATATTTTTTGACTACGGGATACCTCATGGTACCTTGATTGTGTATTGTGATAATTTTGGTACCATAAACATCTCAAAGAATTCCGTTCAACACTCTAGGACTAAGCGCATTGATATATGTCACCACTTCATTCGTGAGCTTGTCAAGAGCAAGGTGATATCATTAGAATATGTCCAAACTCAAGAGTAATTAGTTGATCTTCTCACAAAACCCTTGGATGCACCTAAATTTGAGAGAGTTAGGAAATCTATAGGTATTTGTGCACTTGAGTGAATGCTTGAGGAGCTTAGCCCTGGGAGCATTAATTAAACATGATGCAATAGGGACTAAGTCATGTATGTATGTATTTTTCTTTGTTTATTTTGATTTGTTTTCTATATGAAAAAAAATTCAAAAACAATAGAAATTTGAAAAACCAAAAACAAAAGAAATTGAAAAATCTAAAAATAGTTTTGATGTCAAATTTGACATTCGTTTTTAGGATTTATGATAATAACTTTATTTTTTTTTTTGTTTTTTATTTTCATATTTATTCATGTTTCTCTTTGAATTTGTTTATTTGAAAAATACAAAAACATTAGAAAATAAAATAAAAAAAATTCTTTCATTTATTTTTCTTTGTTATTGATCATATTAATTCATACTTTGGTTTGCATCATAATGATTCCACTTTTAAATCAAAGTTGTAACGTGCATTGCTATGAGTCATATTACGGGATAGAGAACGTAGTAGCATAAATTTTATTGTTTGATTCATGAGTCAAATTCGCTTTCACCCTAATGTGCTTCAAATAGTGTTTACCTTTAAAAAATTCAAAACTAAGTATATGTCAATCATTCACCTTCATATTTAGGTGTCTTATTAGTTTGAAATATTAATAATCTTAAGTGACTCTAAGTGTTAGTGATAGGTAAACATATGACTAAAATTTAGTTAAACTCAAAGGTCAATTGCATGAAAAGAGTCGAATTTGGTCAATCATTAAAAGGAAATGCATAAATAAATGGTTAAAAACCATTGTAGTTGAATTATTGAGAATACTTATGCTTAATTCTTATTGCTTATATGTAAAGCTCATAGAGCTCATGCTACACATGTTTAGAAGGATATTGTTAAAGTACAAAATTTACAATCGTGTTAATTGAAGCCATAGAGAAGAAGGGAAAAAAGAAATGGGGCGTTGTCTAAAAAAAAAAATCATTAGGATACTCACTAACTGGTCATGGATTCATTTAGATGATGCATTAGGATTTCATGTTAAGCTTGTTAATAATTTGAACTAAGCAGAATCCTAATTGTATTAGAGTTTGGTTTCACAAACGCTGCACTAGAATTAGTCCGAGTTGAATAAAATTTGAACACGTGTGAGTGAAATTAAACAAAGTGAGGAAATATTGCTCTAAGATGCATGAAATTGAATTATATATTTTGTAATATGCCTTAGAGTAATATAATGAGATGATGAAATTTGGATGGAGATATTATAATGTGAACTTGTGTAATTTTAATGATTAATAACTTGGTGCATTTACACGATAAATTGAAAATTACATTATATTTTGTTCCAATTGCATCCATGCATTTGCATTTAGTTGCATTAAGATTTTATATACATTCATGCATGAGTTTTAGGTTGTAGAAGTAGTTCAGGAGTCATTGCAAAAGTGATTGACTTCCTTAGGCCATCCAACCACTACTTTTGATATATTGAACTTCTAAGAAAGAAGGAGTCTGAGTCACTCCAATTAGGCTTTTGGATCACATGCAACCACTTGAGCAGTTTTAGAGACTTTAGTTTATGCCATATGGGACTTTAAGTGTTTATTATTCATTCGTGGTCTGTACAAAAATACTCTATTTTTTTTGTTCATTTTTCTATTTACTGACTTTTTATTATTTTGTTTTATTTTTCCTTTGTTTTGACAATAGTCTTGGTCCTATTTATAGATGCTTTATCATATTAGACTTTGAGTTATATGTCTTGTTTTTCCTTTGCTTACTTTACATGCATGATTTAGCTAGTTGCTATGTGTTTATGTTTTCTTGTTATACCATGATTCTATGCCATACTTGTCATATATTGTCATTGAGTTGACATTTATAACAAATAAGAAAAGAATATATTGGATAACTTAATTTTGTATCGTACTTGTCATATGTTGTCATTGGGTTGACATTTGTGATAAAAGGGAGAGAATATTTTAAGTACTTATGAGAGGAATTACTCTTAACTAGTGTAGGTATGTTGCATGTGAAAATAGTAAGGGAGAGTTTATTCTTATACCCAGGGGCTGTTTGTTTCGGGGATTAAATTTAGGTGGTATAAGAGTTTATATCTATTCCACTCCGATCCAATGGTATAATATATCCGGTCTTAAATTATAATCTCATCCTTCCCTTTGTTTGTTTGTCACACATATTATCTGTATAATATCAACTTAAAAAAGTCAATAATTGCAACTACCAATGTAAAAGGACAATTTTAACCTTATAATCCAATGCAATCAATGCCCTTGTTTGTTTGTACAACCACATGTTCATGAATAAAACCAAAATAATGGAATTTTTTTTGTTACCACGTCCTGTGTATGCCCTGTTGAACCTGTTTCCAGGTAACACACACACACACACACACACACACACACACAAACACAGACACAGACGAACTTGGCTAAAAAAAAAAATTTCACCAACATTTTTGTTTATGTGCCACGTGATCTGAATGCACTGTTGAACTTGTCTCTCAGGTGAGTCACTCAGTCACACACACAGAGACCAACATATCATAGAAAAAAAAAACTCCTTCAAGCAATTGTTAACTGTCCTCCCGGTAACACACACACACACAGACGAACATAGCCTAAAAAAACAAAAAAAAAAATTTGACAGTATCATTTTTTACATTGTTACACGTGATCAAACTGCTCTGTTGAACCTGTGTCCCAGCTAACTCACTCACTTACTCACACACACACAACACACATATGAACATGTCATACAACCAAAATTACTAATTACTCTTCAAGCAATTGTTCACTGTCAGATGACAATTCCATCACCATTGGGATTTCAGAAAAATTTTCCACCATTCCTGATTCACCTGCCAGCAGTACACTATAATTCCATTTTCAAAAAAGAAACTCAATGCACAAAACATCAATATGCATACTGCCACTAACATATGTATTATCATTCCATTTGTAAGGAGCTAAGAGTTGTTTTCCTCTGCCTTACCAGTTTGCTCCACAAAAAAAGGTTATAACATCCACCATAAATTTAATTACATGCATAATATAAACAACATTCTCAAAATATGAAACTCCTCATGACTCTTGAACAACAACTACTACCACATACAATCATATCCAAAAAAACAAAATGGCATGTGGAAAACATATTTTACATACAGTCATAATCGGACATGGGAGCAAACTTAATCAGAAAGTTTGATAATATCTATGTCCTATGCTGGATCACCACCCGAGCAGGAGCCCACACTTTCAATCAGCTTTTCCGGGGATACGTCGTTGAAAACCTCCATCATTTTGTCAAACAAAGGACATGGATCAATGCAATGTCTCATTGCAAACTTTTTTGCCTGCAAGTTAATAACTCTTACACTTAAAATGAATTCACTTAAATGTGAAAACAAATTAAATAAAGAGTTCATAAGATTATATTCATGAATATAGTTTTCACTTAAACACTTACCAGTAGGTAGTCACGCGCTCTAGCGATCGGCCCATTGATAACACATGAAGATGCTGAGTCCCACGCAAACATCCTTGTCTTCAACATAGGTTTTATACTGAAGTTGCTTCTTCCAGAAAATTATGATCTTCACAAGATCAACTTGATCAATGCAAGTTACAGGTAGTCTCCTTTTCAGTTAGTATAACAAATTCCTGAAGTGTGGAGTTGTCATTCTGCCTCGTTCAGGAACTATTCCCCGTTGTTTGTTTCGAAGAAACAATGTCATAAACACTTCACTTTCTGTAGCACTAATCCAATTTATACAAATTCATTAAACAATACTACATCACAAGCTCAACACATATATATAAATTACAATAGAAAAATATTGTAATTTGTTACCCATATTCAGAATACATTCCGTAGTTAATATCAAAACGTAGGAGGTAACATTACAAACACTAACCATAAATAATGTCCAAAAGGTGTCAAACAATATACAAACATAGTTCAAGAGAGTCTACCCAGGAAAAAGTAAAGCAAATGGGTTATTACCATACCCAAAACAAACATCACAATATACATGAGATAGTTACCGACATTACGGTATCCCTCCACCTCGCAATTGTGCCCAACAACTTCCGGGGCTGCTAGAGGAATGTCCATTGCATCTTCCCCACGAACATTATTCGGAGGTTGATTTTCATGGACAACCACTTCATATTCACGTTGGACATCTCTTACTACATCTTCATTGTCAATGTACGTGCGCAATGCATTTTCAGCCTCATCGTACAAATCATAAGACTTGTACAACGCGCTCGGGTATCTATTCACTTGCACATGACATTCTTGCCATGTCGTATAGATACCAACTTGTCTTCTAACAAAGACGACATAAAAATGGGTTTTCCTGTTCATCACTTGTCTAACTACACAGGGGTTAGTACATTTCTACGCAAGTGCATACCAATATAAAAAGCAAGTGGTAATAAACATAGAATATCTTCATTATGCAAATATGGCTAAGTTGTTGAAACTTCATAATAAACATCAACCCAAAACATAGTTAAAACATATTTTACCCTTACTTACATTGGTGAACAATCAAAAAAAGTGGCTGATATATCATGTCACTTTATCAAGTCTTTATGACTAAGTTCACATATTTCATGCTCCACCAACAAAAAGAATTACCATACCTAAACCTACTTATCTTTGGTAATTCGATCCGTACAACAACTTCCTTACCCAAGAAGATTTTAAAGTGTCAGACAAGCTAAACAACAAGTCAACCTTAACAGGATCATATGCAATTCTGTAACCAGCCTCAAATAGTAGATCCTCGTCAAGCCACCCAACTTTCTCAAGCTCAGTAAAGAATTTTCTCCTTGCCTCAGAAACATCTTGGGCATGGCCTACCCGCTGTGCAATATTATCAAGCTTACGACCACAAGTAGTAACATAATCACCTAACACCCTTGTCATATCACCCAAGCTACCTGAAATGACTTCGGCAGGTGTCGAAGCCTTTCTCTTCTTCATTTTTTTGGTGGTAGGGGTGTCTGTGGAAACATTTATACCTTAAGTAGTACTATTACTTGTGTCAACCCCATCATTTTCATAGTTAATGTCTGTCGGGTCAAGTTCATGGTTTGCATTGTCATTGTCATTGTCATTCCCTCCAACCATTTCATCAACATCCTTAGCAAATTCTCCGGTTGTGCGATCCTTGCCAAAAATAATTCCCCAATCTTTGTAGTATGACCAACATTTTTCACGCATCCCCTTAGCCTGCTTATCTTTCTACAACAATTATACCATGAAAGAACATGCCTCGAATAAGTGGAGTGGAGTAATACAAAATAACAAAAGACCTATATTAAGTAAAAACTGGTATATTAGACCAAATTACCTTTAAATACTCCTGCCAAACATCATCAGAATCAACTTCAATTTTGTTATCGGTGTCATTAAAGCCGAAACCACTCGTATTCATCATAGATAGTATACAATTGTACTGCCTCTTCCACATTTTTATCTTTGATTCAATGTGGGGTTGTGCACGAAGCGTACTGCTGCCAATTCTGTTTTCTAGCATTTGCAAATAACCGGGCCTAAATGTACCATTAGGACACTTCAGCCCTGCTGCACATAGATCCTTCAGTGCGTCTATTAGTTGTGTCTCTTCCACACTTGTCCAAATTCGTCAGGTACTTTTTTCAAGTTGAATCCCACTCATACCATGAGAGCTGCCAACACTAACCATATTCTATGCATATATATACAATACATACACACATCTATTTATCAGTCTACAACCAATATGCAATATAAAATGAATTACAATACGATAAATGTAGAATATATTGCACAATACTACACCACCAAATAAATTGTTTTACATCCATTAAGCAAACTAGACAACGTAGCAACAACATATATTAAAACATAACATCCATTGAGTTTACTAATTAAAGGTCGAAAAAATAACCACTTCCACCCCCCTATATCTCAACAAAATCAGCTACCCATTTGCCATGCCGCGTACATTTCATTCGCCAACTGAGTCCTCCAAGCAGTCCATGCAGTAGACGTCTCAACACTGTCAACTACATTAGTGTTTGTATTGTCATCAGTATCATTAAGAACATACTCAGGTATGTGGTCTTCTAATGGGTCAAATGGCATCTCATTTCTAATGAAATTATGTAAAAGACAACAAGCATCAATAATTCTGTTATGTGTGGGGACTGGGTAGAAACACGCAGTTCGAAGGATTGCCCATCGCATCTTGAGGAGAGCAAAACACCTCTCAATAACATTCCGGGCAGATGAATGTTTAAGGTTAAAATATTCCTTGGCATTACGAGGAGCTTCCCTTCCACTTCCAAATTCGTCAAGATGGTATGGTTGACCCCTAAATGGAGCTAAGAAACCATCACCATTGGTGTACCCAACATCACATAAATAATATGTGCCTGTCATAATTGTGTATACACCAATTAGTAAACAATTCCAAAAAAATACTAATGCTACAAATTTCCACCATAGCTTACCCCGTTCAACATGTAACCCAGTACGCCTTGTAACTGCGTCTCGAAGGACTCGTGAATCTACTGCTGATCTCTTCCAACCAGGCAAAACATATATGATTCTCATGTCAGTCGCACATACACCTAACACATTTGTGGCAATTTGATCCTTCCTTGTCCTATATCTTGCTTGGTGGACAAGTGACACTTTTGCTCTAATGTGAGTCCCATCTAAAGCCCCAACACAGTTCTAGGCAATATGAAATAAAAATATTATCAATTGATATTTAGATATCTACATACTACGTGACGTGACAACTCAAAATGTGGAAATACTTTTACAAAATTTAGAATACCTTAAAAAAATTCCACTTAGGGTCAGTGCATTCTTCTGTAATTGGAGTAGGGACTGCAAACAGTAATCGGCGTAGCCTAAGAACCGCCAACAACACTACATTGAAATACTTGCTAACCGTCGTCTCACCTGATCTAATAAAACTGAATTTTACTGGTCTATTCTTAGTATCATGACTAATAATACTCAAGAACATAGCTACCATCTCCTCAATGCTAACATTCCTTGTACGAGTCAACCCACCAACCTGTTCAACTAGTGTACACAATATAGAAAAACTTCGTCGGTCCATCCTAAGTTGATTGTAGCATGTGATATCACTTTCATCTATCAGTCTAGTGAGATGCTCTATTTGTAGTCGGGTTCACGTGACTGAGCTTGGGATGATATTGTTGTTTTGATTTTCTAGAAATTCCACCAAATTTGCAATCACAGCAATAAGACATGAGCATATCATAACCGTATTAGAAAGGACACTATCCAAAACAACCACCACTGGCACACTGAAATCATTGTCTTCATCCATAGCAACTGCCACTCACACAAACATTTTGGACATTAAAACGTGGGATATAAGATGGATAGGGCCAACATTCCACACTAATTATGAAAAAAAACTCAAACAAAAGACCTGATCTGTTAACAAAAATTGATTTTAACATTTGTTTTTCAATTTTACCCTTGCATAATCACTTAATACCAATTGTATCCATCATTCATTAACAACCAATGTACCTTATTTGAGTGGAGTATATTAGCTAATACTAAATTTAAGAAGTGAAATTGGGCAGATGAAAAAATATCAGTTACTGAGCAATTATATGAATGAAAAAAAAATGTTAAAATAAGTTGCTAACAATTATGACAATAAATACGACGTTAATTTACCACATCATGAATAAAAATTTTGAAAATATAACAATTCTAATTTACTCACAATAGCTTTTATATTTGAATCAAGATGCTGTCTAATTAGATAAATGTCTAGAAAAATTATATTCCTGATTTTTCGAGGAGTTTTCTTTTTCTTTTGATTTACAATTATGAATGATCATTACCATTTAAGTTTCCATTGTGGACATTACACTATTACCTTCTCATTATGGAAAACAAAGGAGATTTTCAACTGCCATATATCAGGGAAATACGACATTATTTAACTGTTGTTTTTTCGATCTCTTACCAAAAACTAAATAAGATTGTTTGCGATTAAGTTAAATGGTCTCCACTAAATGCTACGTTCATCCAATTTGTTTATACATGATATACTTTTGGCTTTTTTTCAGTGCTTATATTTTTGGGTTTTTTTCGGTCATCAACATTCTCAAAAAAAATATACAAAAATCAGTGACCATTCCCCCTTTAAAATAAGTACAGAAATTGCTGTAGAAGTCACAGCTGCATATATGTGACAGAACAAACACAGATATTAATGAACGTACTTGTTTGTCGTTTGCAGAAAAAAGGGGTTCAGCAGCGTGAAGATCTGCTTAGGGAGATACCAGCGTCAAGATCTGCAAAGGGAGGCGAACGATGGTTCAGCATCTTCAGGGAGGCGAAGGATGGTTCATCGTCTTCATATTTGGTTGATTGATTGTTCAGCTTCTTCAGGTAGGCGAAGGGGTTTGTTGGGGGAGGCGATTGATCGAGTGGCTAGGGTTTGTTGGGAGAAACTTGGGTTTTATATGGGCCACTGTAGATGAGGGCATTTGGGTCTTTTTTATCATATAATACCTCCATGAAATTTGTACTGAAATATTATAGCACTAGGTAGGTTGTATTCAATAGCACCTTATAGGAGGCATTATTTGCACTGTTCATCCGGGTCAGTATTATGACCCGAAAAATAGTACCTACTAAAAAATGCAAAACAAACACAGTATAACGTAGGGCCCATGTACTATTTTCCTTATACCACCCTCTTATACCACCCTTATACCTCAACCAAATAGCCCCAGGGGGAATACATTTACAAACTTGACATAAAATCACATATTTTACACTTGTTATTTTACTTGTGAACACCAATTAGGGAGGACTGCTTGATACGTTTGACATTGCTATATCAATAGGTTCTCAAGCATATGAGACAAATTAGTTCTTAACATGTTACTTATTTACACTTGCATGATGTATATATAAATATGCCCGATGCTTAATTGGTGCTAACCATACGTGTAATTGTGTTGTTTAATTCCATACATATAATGCTCTTCACAAGGTTTTGGTTTGAGTGGTGATATGCAAGACTATGATCTTCAAGCAATATTATATGATCTAGATCTTGTACTAAGATAGGGATTTAGGACATATGCACGAGTATTGAGATTAGATTTACAGTTTATTTTGTTCACTGATTTGTGGGTTGTAATCTTAAAAATTGGTGCTCCCATGCC